ATAGCACTGACCAGGCTGATGTATATCATCTTTTCTACAACGGAGATAACAGAAGTAAGAATGGAAGCAACATTTGGGGGGGAAATAAAAATCACTAAAAACAAATCTCTAGGGGATAGCAAGATACCCAGTATTCAAAACCCAGTTACACCTGGCCACTTTCTTCTCCCCAGAGCCCCTGTCCTAGCTCCTTCCAGTTTAATAGATTCCTAGTCTGCAAAAAGTTTGAGCCATTACCTTCCCAAAGGAGTGTCTGAATCTTATTTTTTTAAAGATCGGTTTTGCAGCCGCCCTTGTACCATCTCCCCTAAAGTAAAAATATCCTACATACAAACCACATCCCCCAAACCACCTCCTTTATCTGATGCCCTGAAGCATGAAGTGTCACAAGCATATGATTAAGACATAGCCTGGCAAGGCCAAAGAAAACAGGTATGCCACAAAGTGCAAACCCACAGACTGTGCTACTGAGATCTATCATTTTACAAGCACTTGCAATATTCTCCAGTTTAGCACTGACCAAATATGCAGCAATGGCTCTGCAATGTCATCACCTAGCCCCAGTCTGGACCCTTTATTTGAAAGCCGCTTTGAGGGATTCAATGCTTCTGCATCATCTTAAACAGCCAACAAATCCAGAGTTTAACATTTCTTGGATTCAAATACTAGTACACACCTTATTTAAATCAGTTCACTTTTGTTTGTTCCAGAAATAAGCACCTCCTGACACATGTAATACAATATTAAAAAAAAAAGTGTTACATATTTCTAAGTGTTACAAGCAATTTAAATACAACTCATTAAAAATGATAAACAAGTAGTGGCTAGTAGAACAAATATTTGGCACAAATCTATTGCCCATTAGGAGATAAAGTTGGGAATCGTTATTTACATTCTTCCACTGTTTTTTCAGAGACGCGGTGGCCATGGGCAAGTCACTCAGGCTCAATGCCTCAACTAAATTTACATACCTAACCCACACTGGAACCAATGTGTCCCTGTCACATTTTATTCATCTGTAAGGTGAACAGTATTTGTTACGATTTTGTGAGATGTTACTTGAATCACTCTTTTAAATACTTTCAAAACAAAATATTAATGTTCTACTATGGCCATTAATACCATAAACGTGAATTAGTAGCTAATTCAACTTCAGTTTAAAATATCAGTAAACCAGTGATTTAAAAGTTTGATTCTTCAGACATATCCACACAGTTCCTGAAACATACTATTTTCATAATTACTTAAATGCAAAAGCTGTCAGTATTAGGCCTCTAAAAAAAGGAGGGTGTTTTCTGCCAAAAGAGATGCATTTGAGAGGAAGACCCAAATTTGTTTTAATATACCCTCAATGCACATGCACCACCTGCTCAGTGAATATAATTTCCTGAGAAGAAACAAAGTCAATTATACATACGATCTGAGGTCTTCAAAGCTGCCTGGGAGAGTAAAACTGCTTATTCCAGTGACAGCTGTGGGCCACAATCCCCTATGGCAGGCTTTGAAAAATCTCAGCTTTACAGATCAATTGGCAGTAAAATTCTCATTCTCTGTAAAGTCTGCTGGATATTCTTAGATTTGTAATGTGCCTGTAATGCAGTATATCCAAGACAGATGATGCTGAAGCACTACAGAGCTCAGAGGGGAAAAAGCACTTCAAGGAGACAGCTATCCTCCCTATTAATCTATGAATACGTATTTTCCAGTTTAATTCTTTACTGTTCACTAAAGACACTACCAAAACCTGGCTAAGTCCAGCAGTAGCCTTGCCGTGCACGTTGCGCTTGTGTGTCCTTTCACTGTCAATCACTCAGTTTATGATATGCTGTATACGAAGACTTGAATTGCAGTTAAAAATGGAATTAACTAAATGAAGAAAATGTACAGCAAAAGTCTGGGAGAAGGATGACTACTAGGCATGCCACAGAGCATGCCTCAGTTGACCTGCGAATAGCCGGTGCTGCCCTACTGACGGCCCTTGATTCGAGGTTAAGAGACACAGCCTGCATAGCACTGGCAGTTTTATAAGGGAGCAAAGCTAGGCTCACTACGCTGGTCAGGAAGATTGCTTTGTTTTGGTTTGTTTTTCAGGCAAACACCCCACGCAGGTGGGGGATTCCATGCCATTCTGAGTGACAGGAAGACAGTTCGTGCAGCAGTCACTAGGACAAGAGCTGTCTCTAAGAGACACGCTGTTGTGACCTATGCTACAACTATTGTATTGCACTAATTTTCATACAATTTGTCGCTAAGGATACTGTGTTCCATTAATTTTCATATAATTCACCAGCCAGGAGGACCAAGGAAGTAACGGATTCAGTGTACATCCTAAGTCTCCAACCACCTACATGCTATTGGAAAATGAACTAGCTGAAGCTCTGCTAAGAATCACAAAACTAAAAAAAAAAAAAAAAATTTTTTTTAAAATTAAAAAACAAACAAAAAAAAACCCAAAATGAAAAGCTTTGAAAGATTCAACACTCTCCCCTCTACAGACATACAGCATTATTTGCACTCTCACAGAAGCCCTTTCAGTTACTTCAGAAAAAGCCCAGACTAAGGAAAAGGTGACACACTCTGTACTACTTAAACACCACTCTACACCAACTTGCTAAGAAAGGGAACATAGACAGAATTAAAAACTGGCTATGAAGGAGAAAAGACCTTAGGATATCTTAGTAAGTACAGGTGTATATTCAGCTTAGTGAGGTATCTTGAAAAGCCTTTTTTTTTTTAACAGGACAAAGTTAAAAAGAAATTATTCCTTTTAACAGATGCTGTAAAGTAGAACTGACTGATTTTATAAGGTGGATCAAGAACTGACTTTTCACTTCCTATTCCTAGATTATGTTTAATACCCTGAATAACTTCTTTTCCAGACTACATAAAATATTGGATGGTATGCCAGGAATCCACCATACCCATACACTGAACTGCAATCTCCCCAGTAAAATCTACAGAAATACAATTCTCCCACATTACCAGGTACTGAAACTGCCTGCTGCTTCCCCTTGTAATATCTCGTGTCTCCTGAATTTGAGTTCTCCAATTAAAAGCACACAAAACAACTATTTCCTGTCATACCCCCTCTCAATCACTTCCCCCTTTCAAGAAGCCAAGCAACTTGGGGGAGGGAGCTGTCATATTCAAATACAGAGGATCCAAATCCAGGGCAAGCAGAATGACTGCTAAATCTTTAGAGACACTTGAACTGGGAGGTGGAGGAGGAACAGCGATGGTGACATTAATCTGATGGCTTCCTGCCCGTGTTTCAAGACACGATGGCAATTATTTGCTTCTAAAACCTTGCCTCATTCAGAACACAAACTACGTCTACTCTGAGGACTCTGCAAAGAAGACGGTTATAGTCTCCAGATCCCCTCGTCCTGCTTATTAAGTAGGTAATCTGCTACAGTAAATGAGTTAAGCTAGTTTACACGTCTGAAAGATCCCCTGGAGAAATGGCTTCTATTCATCTCTACTACATAGTTCTTGTGATGCTGGTTACTGTCTTCTCCTGTCCTGGTTTCCCTGTTGAAGAACCCAAGACTTGATCTGCAGTACTGCCACCCAAGCCAAGTGGCAAAGTGGTGAAATGTTAGAGAGTGCTAAGTACTCTAGAAAAAAAAAAATCTAGAAGCTAAAAGTCTCAACTTCAGCATCCAAAATTAGTGGAACTTAGTCCCTCTGCCTTAGCTCCCCACCTGCACAAGGAGAGTAACACCAGCTCCTTGTTCTGCTGAAGCCGTCAGAAAAGACCTTAATGTTTATAAAATGCCTCTACTCCAACAGAAGGATGAGGTAATGAGTAATTCTGTCTCGAGACAAGGCTTTGATTAGCTCCCATGTGTAGGCAACAAGACTTCATCCGAAAATGCAAAACTGGCAGGATCAAGCTATGTTTTGAAGGACACCGTGGAGCAGGAGTGCAACAGTTATGGCCACAATGCCATTGCTTTCGGTTAAGTAACCGGCACGTGGTGGAAATTTCCTCCCCTACCCTTTCTGTCAGTCTGCTTTAACTGGCAGCTGTCACCACTCCCACTTCGCAGGAGAATTGAGAGGTCCTCAGAAGAGGGAGTGAAACCGTGAGTCACCCCTGGGGAGATGATCCAAGAAGGGCTTCATAAAAGGTGCACTGCTGGGGTCACCTCACCTTCCCCAGTGCCAAACGCCCCTCATGGAAGGCGGTAGGTAGGCAGGTTGGCCAACCGTCCGATTATGCACAGTTGCATTACAGGGATTAGGAGGAGCGTGTCGCTAATTGTTATTTTGATTACCGCAGGCAGCCCCAGCGCAGCGCAGGTTGCCTAGCAACATTTCTCAGTCCTTGCGAGAGCCAGCATCCATTTCGGAGGCAGCCTCAAGGAGCAACAACACACTGGCGTAAGCGAGCAGGGGGTGCGATCCACAGCACCTTCCTCCTGCACTGCCGGGGAAGCCCGACATCCGAGATGCCAATTCACAGCTTCATTTACATTTATCTATCGTACTTCCCGTAAACCACACGGTCATCTTTAACATCCTTAACAAAAACTGTATCGGAAACACAAGCATTACAGGGTACACATGGTAATTAACATTTAGTTCAGATGCATTAGAGAAAAAGAATCAGTCCTGCCAACTAGCAACCAGCAGATTAACTACAACTTCTACCGGTAAACAGCCTGATGGGCTTGGAAAATAGTTACATAAAAATGACATAACAAAGTAACGCTGCTGTGTATGTTGGGGAAAGCAGTTCCACAGGCCTGGACTGGGGCAACTCGTAACACGATGACTAAACACCAACAAAAAGCCGACACCACACAGAATAAAAACCACAAAACATTTCAAGCAGAACGCACACCTGCACGCACAGCCACACACCACCTTACTGAGATCGCAGACATTACAGGTGTACTCCCAAAAAGCACAAGGAAGACCAAACATGAGAGTTACATATGTACATTTATAAAGGAGCACTTAAAGGATTTTACGGAAAAACTCATCATGCATACCCTCCTCTTCTGTGGCGCTCCTTGTGCTTGGAGATTTTGTAAGGCAGAGACCTTTCTCCCAGGTTTTCTAGGTTCCTCACAACGGCTCCTCTCTCCATAAGAGCCTCAACAGTGCGCTTCAGCACAGCTGCAGTCTCAGGCTTTAAAAGAAAAAAAAAAAGAGAAAGCGGGAAATATACATAAATCTGGTTATTCTTATTATGCGATTAGAAGGGCCATCTGTACTCGCACAGCTCAGCGCTGGAAGAGATCGTTCCATAACCCGGCAGGGCAAAGTGGAAGCAGAAGCAGACCTCCTCCTAAGGAAGAAAATTTTTAAGAACAAACAGCCAATTCCTCTGTGAATTACGGCAACAGGAAAGTTTCCACCGATTTCAAAGTCAGGCCCCAACAACAACAGGAAAAAGGAAATATTTAATGGATTTAACTCACCTGGTATCACTTTGGCTGACCCTTGCACAGGTGTAAGTAAATATATGTGGCAAAGAGCAATTATGAATTGGCAAGAGTTTTAAGGTCCCTGGACCATCGATGCTCATTAATAATGTTCACCGCAGTATTTAAAGTGAACAGTGTGGGGGGAACGCTAATCCATGGCTTGCTACAGAGACAACAGTTAGCACCACATTCATTTTATATGGTCATTTCAACTGCACGTGCGTAATAGATATTTGGACCCTTGGCTACATCACTGCACACTACTTTTGCATAGCCGACATCCAAGCCTTTTTAAGAGTTAAGGAACTGACGTGCAGTAATTAGTCTAACATGCAGACAATTTCACTCCTTAGAAAAACAAGTTTGAAGGACAGGCAGCCAAAAAAACAGTAGGTAAAACAGATGCAACGTTTTCTTGCTCATTGCGTATCAGAGCTCTTTGGAGTGCTGAATCATTTCGGTAATGACACTCAACAATATCTATGAAAATGTTAATAAAGTACAAATTAGAATGTTTTGAAAACAACTGCAAACTTACACACTCTCAGCAACAAGAAGTTATTTTAAGAAACAGATCTCCTACAGAGAAAGGAAACTAAAGGGATGTCCAACCGAACACAAATCAAACTGTATAGCTTTCTTCTGCATTCCTCGCAACATTTCACATCAAGATATATTCCCACGTCTACTTGCCCAGTGAGATGGCAACAGCTGTAAATGGAAAAGTAATGAAAGAGCTGATTTTCAGCTTTATTCAGATTTTGTTTTGTTAAATCAGACCACCATAATCATTTCACTGTCCCTTCTCAGCCAGAATAAAACTCGTGTAAGCCTCATGTATAAGATGACTGAAAGTTAGTTTCCTAAGTCTAAGGTAGAGATGTACACCTTGACTAAGAAAAAGGGTTGTTTAATGTCAAGATCCCTTAATGGAAATCGGTGGAAAAAGGTGGTACCAGAAGTGCAGCCCATGCTCTGGGGTGTGAAATTTCTCCTTCATTTTCCTGAGGATACAAGTGATATGAAAGAGCCTCCAAATGCAGAGCAGAGATGTTCAACGTATGACATTTTGCAACAGTGCCTGCTCTTTGAAATACCTGAAGTACAGACGGTCTGAAATGTTTTCTTGTTTCCATAGGCTAACTGCCCTGTGGCAGTCAAGAGTCAATCATGGGATCACACCTACTGCTCCTCACTATCAATCAGAAATTTTATCCCCCTCTCTCCAGCTGCATAAACTGTTTGGGAAATTTATTTTCAACACAAAGAACCTAAACAGTTATAAGGTCAGCAAAAATGCCTGGAGTCTTTTTTTCAACATATGTTTAGATTGTTTTGTAAAACAATTACGGGGACCAGACAAGTTTGTTCACACGAGAAGAAATGTTGCTACCTTGCCAAAATTCTTCAATGCAGTTTCTCACAACAGACAAATACTAAAGGTATCTCTTGTCACAGTGTGAAAAGTTAGGATGAAGGGGTTAAGAGATCTTATGGATTATACTATATTAATTTAAATCATATTTTAGCTCAAAATCAGGAGTAACACTATTTTTCAGTTGACTTAGGACGGCTGCCTCCATTATCACTCATTAGATTTTCAAATAAGCACCTTTCATGCTTAGGACCCCCTTCCCCAAAATGTTTGCAGAACTAATTGGGTCTCCTTACAACTCTTTTTGGCCTTTTGCCACAAAGCAAGCCATTCCCACAAATGTTACAGGAGTCTGAACTTCTGAGATTTCCAAAACTTGTTCGAGCTTACCCGGAAAAAACCCAGTGTGTTCAAAACTTACAAAGTAGAGACTGACAGATGACAGGCAGACAGATGGACAGGCAGAACGCAACTGTACAGCCCTTTGCTAGAAAAATAGCATAAAACCAATTCTGTAAAATCATGCAGGCACACGCATGTCGATGCTACAGCTGATGATGCTGACCAATTGTCGATGCTGACCATGCTAATACTTTCATTCCCCCCTTTAAATCTATCTCTTGTCTCTCAAATACTTCTGCATACTAGATTCAAATACTAGCAAGTATCCCATCCACACAAGGATTTTCTTCCAAGACTGGATTCTTAGTCTTCTCTATATGCTCATATTTTGCATTACTTTTCATCCTCTAATCTGTCTGACAACTACCACCAAGCAGTCACATGCAGTCCTCTCTCTCTCCACAAACCCAAGAAGGACAAGCAAATACTATCAGAGAAGAACTGGGAAGCAGCTGCTATAGCATGTTACTCCCTCAGTACTTTGAGCGATACTCAAGGAGTTGGAAGGGTGACTGTGAAATCCGTTGGCTGAGCTGACAGGAGTGAAGGCGAGGAACAGAATCAAGAAAAGCCAAGTAAGGAGATCAAGTAGTGTCTTCACAATAATGCCAGCAACTAGGAGAAAGCATAGAACAAAATCTCTTATTCTGCATCACACCCACGTGTTGTTTTGCCATAGTGGAAAGTGTCTTTCAAACTTCTGCTGTTGGAGTAACAGTAACAGCCAGAGAAAGGTAGCAGCTCCACTTTACTTGACCCTGTCCTCAACACTCCACAAATGCCAAAACACAAGGGGAGAGAGGGGTGCAGAGGCTCTTTTCTTAAGACTTTCCCCATGAAGAATTTCTACCCAAGCTCCTTATGGCTGTTTTAGCTCGACTTACATGGCACAAAGGCGAGAAAAGCTGGCCCAAACTCTAGACAGTTTTTATGCTGCTTCCATCAACGCAGGATCTCAGCACTCAAACTCATCTAAATCAGGAGCTACTGGTGAGATACCCTCATTTGTTGTGAAGCAGCAGCTTCACACAGACAAGCCAAAAACTAGGGTAACAAAGCTGCTAGTGATATCCATAGTTTAATCCTGTAAGAACCATACCAGAAATCTGGCTTCAAGAAAGAGAAAAACAAGAACAACTGAGTTTGTGAAGCAGGCACCAAGGTACGCATTACTATCTAGAAGGTTTTGCCTTCTAAACAAGAATCTGACACCGACCATTAGGATTTTACTTAGCCACATTAGTAAGGGAAATGAGCAGTTTTAGGAGAGAAAGGGCAGCTAACCTAACAGCTTTAATATTTTGTGCGCTGCAGTGCACCTGTAGTGCTTCCAACCCTAGGCTTGAAAATACACTCTTGGAAAGCAATAGGATCTGCCATTCAAGTCTTCTCCAACTGTGCCTGCTGCATGTGGTTAGGTTGCAGAAGCCTCCACGGTGCTCAGACAATTATCGCAGGAGAAATCTGTCAGGTCAATGAATAAAAATACTGTTAAGTTTACTGTTGCTACTTGTCTCCCACTTGCACAAAAAATGCTGATCCATAAACAGAGCTCTGTTCAAAAGAGATCTTAATTGATTGAGACCTTTAGACAAACAGCTGTATGTCCAGCGGTGCAGTTGTCTGGCATACCCTTCTTAACAACCATGCAGATTTAAGTTAAATGTTACTGGTTTAGCTTACTCCTCTACAACCCTCATACCCTCAAATGACACACAAGCTTTTTGTCTCTCTTACACATGCCAACAGATCAGCACATTCCCTGAGTGGCTGCATGTCCAACATGATGTGCAGTTTCTGAACACAATGAAGCCTAAGATCAAGTCCTATGTATTTAAAAACAAAACAAAAAGAACAAGAAAAGAAAGCCACAGATTTCTACATTAAGGATTGTAAAATATTACACGTTTTTGCAACCTCCCCACTTGTGGACATACTTTGAAAACATAAACTAATTGTTGGTTTTGAAAGCTTGTCACTGTAATCCCTCTCATTCTTCCTCTCCAAAAAAGATCATGGTTTATCATAGCTTGCCTAAAGCCATCAACCAAACTATATATAGGCTAGCCTTTGCTAACCATAATATCCACAGACACAGGTTCCTTGGTTTGCCTCAGAGCCAGACCAGTTGAGGACATAGGAAATGGTATTGCCTGGCTCCCAACCCAGTAGCCACAACATTTTTTCCTGAACAGCCAGCACTAATTCCAGTACCACAGATGTGGGGAAGCAAAGATGGGGGAGAGAAAAGGAGAAAATGGAAGCCGGTGCCAGGATATCCATGCTGGAGAGCAGGAAGCGCTAGCAAGAGCGCGTAAGCCCTGGTATGTAATTCTAGCTCTGGTTCCCCCTCCTGCGTGCACAGTCAAGCCAGAGCCCTTTCAACCGGCTTCACCCTTAGTGAACTTGGTGAACTTTGTTAGTGAACTTGGTTCACTATCATTCAGCCACGAGTAGTTACCTTGTTCTCAGAAAGGTACAGCCCTATGGACCTGACCGAGCCATGGAAGGAAGAGGAGGGAGGTCACTGCAGACTGTCCAAGGGCTTTTCCTTGGAAAACTGCCCCTGGAAGAAGTAACTGAAGGACTGTTGTCTACAGATCAAAATTCCCCACTCCTCTGCTCCCACATTTTTTAAACTTACAGCTGCCCAGAAGAAACATGTTAACTAGCATGTCAACCCTGTATTTGCCAGGCAAAACAATCACAACAGAGGTACGTTACAAAACATACTTTCTGTGTATTGTTGGCTTTCTCCATGGATGAGGATCGCTGCAGCCACGTTTACCAGGCGGCTGCACCACCAGGGAGACTCCGCGCAGCTGCTGCCAGTGCCGCAGGAACTACACGCATCGAGATCACCGGGCACCTTTCCACAAAGAGTCCAGTTCTGTTTATTTAAAACTCCATTATTCCCATGAAGTT